GAGAGAAAGAGCTGCGCTATGAGAAAGAGAGCAAAGAGAGAGACAGAGAGTTGCGCTAGAGAGAGAGAGAGCCAAGAGAGACACAGAGAGCTGCGTTAGACAGAAACCAAAGAGAAAGAGAGTTGTGCCACAGAGAGAGAGAGAGCTGAGTGACCTAAGAAAGAACAAACTTTCTGAACTTGTTAAAATTCAGCAATAAGTGGACAATAATTTTATATTTATAGGTGATAGTTGTACAAAAATTGGGGAGGGGTGGTATTTTTAGTTAAGATTATAAAATTGGTGGCATATAGGGCTATTTCCCAAAAATATTTTATATCGTAGTGATTAGTGGGCTCGGCCCTAAAATTTCGGGCTTGACTTGTAGTCAAGTTTGGACCAGACTATTTTGGGCGTAGATATTATTTTGGTCGAGCCAGACGTGGGTTTCAATTCCCCAACCCAAGTCCGCCCACGAGGGTCGGCCAATGAAAATGAACTTTTTTCAAAATAAAAATATATTCAATTATTTTAATCATAATTTGTAATAATCAACTATATTACATACTATAGACTAAATCTAATGTATTCTGAGTTAAATATATTACAATTCAGACTAAAAATAATGCATAATATAGACTAAATATTTAGAAGTGGTTTTTGAACTTTTTAAAAGTCCTCATTTTAGACTTCAAACTCTAAAATCAATCAATGTGGTCTTTCATCTTTTGATCTACTCATCAATTTGATCCATGGTGTCGCATTCCGACAAAAATTTCGTTACAATTGTTCACTTGTCATGTCGTGACCGAGTTTATATGTGCATTTTCATCAAAATATACATTTTAGTCTTAAAACTCATATTTTTCCTCCACAATGTCATTTTCTCTCCATTTAGGATTTCACATTTGTAGTTCGATAAATGAGAGCAAATAGCCTTATATATTGAGTAAAAGATGTGAGATTTACTTTGTGTCATGAGTGGATAGGTTTATTTTCTCTTATCAGGACGTCCATAATTTCTTATTATACGGACACCATTGTTTTTTCAATTTCCTCCATGCTTTTCTCCCTTTCTTAGTTTTCCTCCCTATCTTCTGTATTCATATACTTCAACAAGCTGGAGTGGGTGTACTAAACAAGCTTTAAGAAATATAGTTGCAACAATGGTGTTCGTACAGTAAGAAAATCTAGACATATGCATAAGAGAAGAACTACTGCCCTTTAAAGTTTTTTGTGTGACCAATTTAATGAGGATTTTGATGAAATGCCACAAGAAGGACCAAACGAATGTGTGGACCAAAAGATTACAGACTACATTGATTGATTTGAAAATTTAAGGACTTAAATGATGACTTTCGATTAATTTAGTGATCATTTATGATAAAAAAAACCCTCTTTAAAAATATAAAACTGGCATAGTTTGATGGGCCTAGACCAAACGCCTGCTTTGGACTCAAATGGGCTGGATCATGGGCGAGCTCCTAGCCCTACCCAATAAAAATCTGGATGAGCATGGGCACCCCTAATTACATGCATGTACGAGCTTTGACCTTTTGAGTTCAGGCTGACCCTCTTTGGGGTGTCGGCCAGATGATGATCCTTAGTTAATTTTTTTGTTTTTTTTTAACACAAGCAATAGTATTAACGCCGGCCCCCGAGGACGGGGAGTTTCTTATACACCAATGTCATAAGGGTTTGAAACCTACTTGAAACCATTATTCTTCAAGTCAATGCCCTTTTTCATTGGATTAGACACCGTTCACCTTAGTTTTAAATTTTGAAGATAGTGACTTGCGAGATTTTATGACTGTAATATTTCCCTATAATTTGATTTCTTAGCGTGCTACTAATATCTTAACATTAACTCTCATTCGTTAACCTTTTATTTTTATTTTTTATTTTTTATTTATAAATTTATAGAAAAGATGGTTGTGGGAACCGAATTAATTCGTAACCCTAGGTCAAATAATTCGTTCCATTTGGGGATTATTTGACCTAATTGGGAATTATTTAATTTAATTGGGGATTACCCAATTAAATAGAATGTTACCTAATTAGGTTGAGGATTGATTTGATTTCTACGAATATTCTCAATTAATGGAGGAGTTACCTAATTAAATTAGGTATTGATTTGATTGCTACCCTGATTAGGGATTTGATTTAAATCAAATAAATCAAATCCCTAATTAGTCAAATCTCGCCAAATTGGGGAGCAATAATTCCCTTCCATCTACGGAATTATTCCTCTGAAACCCTAGCCCCTGAGACCTCTATAAAAGGATGGCCACACACAAGGGTTGAGGTACGTCTAAACTCCTACTGAAACTCTGCAGAAATTATCTCTTAGAAACCCTAGCCACCACTCTCTCTCTCCCTTTTACACAAGGCTCCGGCCACCACTCACGGCTCCAGCCACCCGGTTTTCACCACACATGCATATTCCCGTACCCTATTTTAGCTATCGTTTCTCTATAGATCGATTGAACTGACTTAGGCATCGGAGGGCCTTTGGCCAACACCCCCCGGGTGTGGCCCTCTTATTGCTATTCATTTTGCAGGAGAAAGAGAAGCGGAGAAGACGAAGGAATCTTTCAACCGAATATTCCCATGGGAGGAAATTTGCTCCCACAATGGTATTTAATTAAACCGAAAGGAACATTACATGGTAAGAACTAGTATGTTAACGACGGCCTCGTTAAAACTTTCCCAGAGAAACAAAATCCTGGCGTAGGAAAGAGTACCACATATGCTATTGACTAAACAAAAGAGTCAAACAACTTATATGAAACAAACCAACCTAAACCCCAACCACATAACCCTTAAACAGCATCCCATTACTACTTAGGTACTGTAAAAAAAGTCCTCATATGATCTAGAAAAAGCATCATAGTTCTTCGTACAGAGTCAGAAATGTACTATGGGTATCAGAATAGATCCAACCAATCACCCAACCGCAAAACCATTGAAACACATCCCATCACTATGTAGATACTGTCAAAGAAAGCCTCCTATGACCTAAAGAGAGCATCATAGTTCTTCATAGAGAGTCAAAATCATATTGTGAGCATCATAATAGATCCAGCAAAACACCAACCGCCACCTCCAATTTTTTTGATCCAGAACCCTAGCTGACAAGCAAGGAAGACCAAGTTTGGCCTCTTAGCCTGAAGAAAATTCCGAAGAAAGATCTTCATAGTAGGAACGTTCATTGGTTGCCAAGCCCATGAACGTTCCATAGGAGAATTATTAGGGAGATCTTGGAGACCCCTCGAGGCTGGTCTCCTCCTCCTTGTCAACAAAATCCTCGATTCAAAAACTATGCTTACCAGAAAAATCCATGCCACTAACGATCAGATTCCCAACACTAGTTTTCGCATGCTTCTGATTCCCGTTTGGTGTCGCATACTTGTCATCCCCTTGAGCAGAAGAGGCGGTGGCCATCTCCATAGCGTTAAGATGGAGACCCCTCACCAACGACTGGCTCCTTGGGAACCCAAAAAGGAAGCCAACGCAGCCGGGAGCGGATCCGCTGTCCCAAATTGGTGTCCCCTCCATGTCCCCTCTCTAATTTGCTGACACGTGTCAACTAACATAACAGGGAGTTAACTCTGTTAACTTTTTTATTTGACAATTTTAACAATTAAAAAAAATTAAAAGCTGCCCAAATAACCCAGCAACCAACGACTTCCTTGCTAAACCCAGTGAGCGTCTGTCTTCTCCTCTTCTCCAATTGCAGCCAACCCAGCAGCCAACGAGCATCGTCTTCCTTGCTAAACCCAGCGAGCGTCGTCTTCTCCTCTTCTCCAATTGCAGCCAGCGAGCGTTGTCTTCCTTTTCCAAAAACAGCTAATATTTAGAATGATATTATCTAGTAAGGAGTTTGCTATTTCTAACTTTTTTTATTTTTTATTCTCTCTGCAGGTCAAAACACCCACCCTCTTTCTTTTGGGTGCTCAGGATCTTCGTGTTCCAGTTTCTACCGGGTTGCAAGTAAGCTAATATGTTCCCCTCCTAATGAACTACACATTGAACACTTTATTCTATTTAAATGATTTTACAACAATAACAAGTGCTTGGATAACAATTCTTCTTGGCTGCATTGCAGTAGAAAGTGAATGAAACATAAAATACACAAACAATTGTAATGGTGTGAAATTAGAAAAGTGATCTAGATGTTTATTGTTTGTAGTATGCTCGGGCATTGAAAGAGAAAGGAGTTCCCGTCAAAGTCATTGTGTTTCCTAATGATACTCATGCCATTGAGAGGTAAAGTAAACACATGAGCCAAACTTGCTTCTGCGTTGTAGTAGTCTTTTAGTCACTACTACAATCAAGCTCATAAAATTTCATACTTGGGTTTCAATTCCATCTGATTCCAACTCCTGTCTGCAGGCCGCAATCGGACTTTGAGAGCTTTCTGAATATTGGTGTGTGGTTCAAGAAGTATTCTTAGACTGGCCAATGAAGGAAATAGTGGAGTCGGCCTATGGAGGTAGAACGTCGACAAGGGGACTGGACTGCCGATGCAATGCAAATGAAGCTGAAGGTTTGAGAAAAATGGTGCTGCAATTTCCAAACAGAGATTAGGAGGGAGGAGAATTGGGTTTTGATAGCGTTTGAGAGTTGATGGTGGAGAAGATGCAGAGATTATGGGGGAGGAGAGAGGGTATGGCTGGGTTTTGCAAGGAAGACGACGCTCGCTGGCTGCTGGGTTGGCTGCAATTGGAGAAGAGAAGACAGACGCTTGCTGGGTTTAGCAAGGAAGTCGTTGGCTGCTAGGTTATTTGGGTAGCTTTTAATTTTTTTTAATTGTTAAAATTGTCAAATAAAAAAGTTAACAGAGTTAACTCCCTATTATGTTAGTTGACACGTGTCAGCAAATTAGAGAGGGGACATGGAGGGGACACCAATTTGGGGACAGCGGATCCGCTCCCAACGCAGCCACCCCACGGAGAACAAAAGAGCAAAAAAAACATCATACCCAATTCACCAAGAAGAACCCAAAGAGAGAATCAGAGAAGATTGAGAGAGACGACATAGAGAATGAGTAAAGAAAACTAGAGAAATCCTAACCCTAGCCATTAAGGCTCTCCTCGCGTGAACGAGAGAGCGACCCCGCTCATTCGTTAACCTTATGTCTTATATTTTTATTTTTAATATTTTGTTCAATATAGAGGAAAATATGGAAAGAATAAGACCAAAGAAGTGCGGAAAAAATCACTGCAACAGAAGAAGTTATTTAGTGACCAATTTCTCAATGATCAAATTAATATTGGTCACAAATTGTACCAAAGCAATCCTTCTTGGCTTTAAAATCAAATTTGGGTGCTATGATAATACTAGCTTCTCTAGCTCTCACGACAAATTATGTCACATGTATATATCCACTTGGCTTACCAGTATGACACAAAATGCTATTGTTCTACATTGTCCTGTGTCTAAGATGTGGGCTATGCTATGGTAATGTTGGTTGTTGTAATATTACTTAATAATTAATTTTCACATTAGCTTAATTTACTTTTAATTTTGATTTATTTATGGATTTTACAACATAAGAACTTTGGGGTGGCATGTTGAGTGGAAGTGCTCTTTAGATATTATTCCCATTGATTGTGACTTACATAACCAATTGGAACTTATGTAGCACGGACACTCCATTAGGCCAAAATATCTGGGTGTCGGACACGCAGACATGCCTCGGACACTGGTCCACGGTCAAGACACATTTTGGACACAGTCAAGACACTTTTGGACACGGTCAACAGAAGTCAAGACACGAAAGGGACCATTTTGGAAGTTATAAAACAAAAAGGAGGTTAAAACATAATTATTGAAAACTATGTGGACATATTTGAAATACTTTTAAAAAGTGGGCTAAAAATGTAAACAATATTTTTTTTTTAAATATGTTTTTTTTTTCTTTGTTCCTTCATAGCAGAGCTGATATTTTTGGTTGACTAAAGATATTGATAGCAATTTCGTTGTGAGAGACGCATCTTTTTGAGTGGCTAATTCATTCACTTTGTTTCTTTTTATTATTATTATTATTTCATTTATGCAAACTTGATTTTTATTTTATGAAGTGGGAAATCGTTTTTCTTATTTTGAAGATGATAGATCATATAGAAAAATGTGTGAAATTTGGTTTATAATGAATCATGAATATGTGTATCATTCTTTATTTTGTTTAGGGAAAGATGAGTAATGCTAAGTTAACTCAAATGAGTATGAATTTGTTTTATGGAATTATGACATTGAAGTATTGAGTATGAATTTAAATAAATAAATAAATATATATATATATATAAGTATATACTATTATAATTTTATTAGAATTTATTATTATTTTAATTGTCATGTCATAGTCGTGTCTGTGTCCTAGTTTTTTAAGATTTCCGTGTCGCCGTGTCACCTTTTCGTATCCCCGTGTCCGTGTTCATGCAACATAGACTGGAACAAAGAGGTAACACAAGAATCTCATTTGCAAGCCTTTCACTTTTTCCAACATAGTAGATCTCAGGTTTTCACAGATAGCATCCACCATTTCCTGATAATGTATGGATTTAGCAGCATTAAGAGCAACTCCACCCATTTGTCATGGCAAAGGGCAAGGGGAGGCAAGGGCTATTACTATTCATGTGAATAGTGGCAGCCCTTGCAAAAGGCTTGTGGTGTTTCCATCCATTGCCATGGCAATCACTATTCACAAGAGATATGAGGAGAGGAATTTGTATAGAGTTTTGGTGTGAGAAGTGAAAAATATGACTAAGTATTTATTTTTAAAATTTTTTGAAATATTTAGTTTTTATTTATTCATTTTTTAGATTTTTAAAATTTTTTTTTTTTTAGTTGCTGACATCAACAACCCTAGGTTATTGCAAGGGTTGGTTTTGCCTGAGGGCCAGCCCAGGCTTATGGAGCCCACGTCCAGCCCGGGCAAAAAAGGCCCGGTGGAACACGATTTTCTTCTTAGGCCCCCCCTTGCCCCCATCCTTGGCAAACCGATGGAGTTGCTCTAAAAGGGATATAATTGTGGGAGAAGAATACATACATAATTTTTATTTTTATTTTTATATCAACAACATTCTGCTTCTACTTTTGCTTTTGAACATTACAAGATAGTGTATGAATTGTTAAAAAAAGCAATAATTTACTACATCTTCCAACACTTTCTTATTCTTGCATGGTGTTGGTGCTAAAACTAAACAGATAGAAATAGAAGCAACTTATAGGTGATGTGAACGGTTTAAAGACCGATTGAGCCTTCAGTATGGACACGTTCTTCCTTGGGATGCTGGATCTGGGACAAGGAGAGAAACAATGGATGAAGTCTAGGGTGCCAGTGTGGTACCAGCCGAAGACCCTCCGATGATAAAGTAAGTTTCTTTATGAGCTTTAGCTATTGACAATGTATGAGCACGAGAGTCAAGTTGAAAGTCCTACCCTTTGTCTATGGTAAGGGTGCCTATTTATAGAGAGTGCCTGGTGTGCTCTTAGTACTTAGTTTCGATGTAAGACTCTTGGGAGTGCCTTCTGAGGTCGACACGAGTCTGCAAATATCTAAGCGGGGTATTCGAGGTTGTCTCGCGGAATCATCAAGGCATGCCGATCGGATACTTGAGGGTCGTTCGGCAGCTGGTACAGATAGTTTGTTCGATGAGGAGCTAGAAGGAGAGCTCGTCGTTTGAAGGACTTGGTGATTGGATCGGTCGAATGATCTACCGGTGTGAGCCGCAGGGTTGACCTTAGCTTTGTCCTCTGTCCACATGTCATGTTGTGAGTGGATGGTCAGATATGGTACAAACACATGGTACCTGACCTGACCTAAGCATGCTAAATGAATCATAGTATGCATTTCTTACCTAAGGTTTCATTAACTTTACAACCCCATACCTCCTCCTTCCCATAATCTAGTTTTAAGTGAAACTCTATTCCTCTAAATATCTTCATAGAAGCAATGCACTAATTCACACAGTAATTGATATAGAAAATGCTTCTTCACAACTTGTTCGCTTGTTTATTTGTTTGTTTTTCTGTATAAGCAAATAGAAGACACATTTTCATGGGAAATGTCCCATCCCATGCACCTATACGAATGAAGTCAGGTAATACAACACAAATTACAATGTCAGTTATACATGCACAATTTATTAGACATCCTTCTTTGTGTCACTAAATACTTGTAGAACTAGCTATAATATCTCATCAGTTATGAACTTATAATTATCCATCTCAATAAATAAACACAGCAATTAAATCAAGCACTATCTTGAATAAAATTATTTGAGGGACCCCTCAATAGAAGGATATATATATATATATATATATATATATATATATATATATATATATATATATATATATATATATATATATATTTTTAAAATAAGCGATATTATACTTTAATATAATCTAAACTACGCGGAGGGGAATTCGAACTTGGGGTGTAGAGTGGAGAGCACATATGCTCTAGTCAAGTTCTGCACACTACCCTAAATCTCTAGGCAGCAAATTCTTCAATTTTAGATCAAGAAAAACTTTATAGGCAACACATATCCTCTTTTGGTTTTCCTAACTTCAAATCCTATAGCAGAAAGAAGCTTAACTAGGGGCCGTTTGGTTCATGGGAAAGGAGGCATAGGAATGGGAATTCAATTGCTTTCCCATGTTTGGTAAGTCCGGGAATGGGAAACGGATTCCTGGCACATGGGAAAGTAGGGGGGAAAGTGATGCCCCCCTCTTAACTTGGGTTTTGCTTTCCCTCCTCATGGGAAAGTTTGGGAAAATGTGCCAACATTCAATGCACAATTTTCATGACTATTTTGTCCCTATGAACAATTTATAATTACAACGTATCATTAAATGCATTCTTTTTTTATTTGATTTAATATGGGTATAATTGGAAAATTATACAAATTTTGTTTTCCATTCCTACTCAAAACAAACATGGGAAAGGAAACAAAGTGAAATCTCCCGATTACTTTCCCAACATTACCAAACGTGGGAAAGGAATCTTTCATTCCCATTCCTTGGGAAATGACATGGGAATTGATTTCCCCTCAAATCCATTCCGTGAACCAAACGGGGCCTAAAGGTATCCCATCCCATTACAAATGAACTAATTATCCATTCCATGACTCAGGCTTGATAGCCTTATACATGAGCATTGTTGCCTTGCCTGCCAAGACTGACCAAAATGGTCTTCAGCTCAATAACAGCTTTCCCTGTTCCACTCAGAGTCCCTTTACTAAATGAAAATTATATTATTGTAGGCAACATCAAAACTGAGTTATATAAATATTAATTACTATAAATGAGCTCATGTTGTTCATGAGGATTTGGATTTGAGAAAGACTGTTCAAAGATGTTGCCTATTTATCCTTTAGTAAGTAACTAATTATTTTTCGCAATGCCAAGATTGCGTCGTTAATCTTTTCTTTCGTGTGTAGAGCAGAGTTTGATAGTTTTCCAAGTGCTGTAAATACAAAGTGTATTTGTTATGACAAATGGCCGTATAGCTCCCCTGAGAAGTGACAAGACAATTTCCAACCCTAAAAATGGTGAGCATTTCACTCGCACTCGTGAATTTAGAAACAGTAAAAAAATTAAAAATTAACACAATTGTGACGACAGTATAAGAACAGAGCAAGCAATCCAATAATGAGGACACTAGTAATTAGTGTTTGGGTTTATTTAGTTCTACCAAAATCTTGGAAATCAGCTTGCACTCGAGTATATGACCTGAACAATTCTCTAAATCATTTACTTCTCTGCTGAACCCACTTGCTGCCTAATTCTGCGAGCACAATCTTCAAAACTCTTGACAAAACCAGCGCATTTCAGAGGGTTGTCGGCATGCTCCTTGTAGCAAGCCAAGCAAGCATCCTTCTCCGTTAAGCAGGGCATAGGCTTCTGGAATGGAAGCTTGAACTCCTTATCACGAAGTTCCTTTGCTCTTTGTGTCACTTCCTGCACCATATTCTCCTCCTGCTTCTGCAACCGCTCCAGAACCCTGCCACTCTCTTGAAGAACAGATCTGATAGCATCTAACTCCGCATAGGTAGATTGTGAAGGAGGGGTTACAGGCACGAATATAGGAGGCTGAAGAGGCCATCCTTTAGCACCTGTCCCCTCAGAATCATCAGAAACCTGTTCCTGGTTTGTCTTCGTTTGGGGCTTTTGAGGCTCGCGTGGTACCTTAATTTTAGTTCTTCTGGGTTTTTTCTTTGACTTCTCAGCATCATGAACAAGCTTATCAACCAGATTGGAGCTAATCTGAATGCTAAAATCACCCATGGTGGAACAGGTCCCTGATAAGATACCTTGAAGGCTGGAAACATTGATGCAAGTGTGTTCGATTAGAACAAAAACCATAATTGCTACATGTTTTGGATACTAGCAACGACTGAATCAGTTTTTAGAACAGAAAACAATGAAACATATATACCTCAACATGACAGATAAAAAGATAGACAATAAATGTAAAACATGGCAACCAAAATTAAGAACTTAAATTAAGTTACACACTTTGGCCTTAGGCCCAAAATCATGTCTGAAGATAGCAAGAGATTTTGACTAAGTGGGTATCAGGAAATTAGAAAACAATAGAACTCTCGCATTCTTGAAATTTCAAATCTGACAATACCACTTAATACTGAAAGACTGGTTTTGGATCTTATATATCCCGGTTGGGTCAGACAGCTGAGTGATTTCATCAGTCCAGAACTTCTAATTGTTTCAGAGATACACAAATCACCAAACTTTTTATAACATTGTATTTCCCTTCACTTCATGCATGCTAGAGGAGGTGGCAGCAGGAGATTAGTAGTAGTAATTGAAGACCCTCATCCCCATATATTGGACAAACTTAAAAAGCCACATGTGCATGCAAATTATTATCAAACAACAAAGAAAATTATTTTTACCTATATGCATGACAAATGTCAAAATTCAAAATTCAATGTAAAATTAAGAAACATAAACTATTCAACAGGGTAAAACGAGAAGGGTAAAGGGTCTAAAACCCCCCTGGACTATTTGGCTTGTCGAAATGTCCACCCTGCGAACCCCCAATCACCTAGAATGGGAAATGGAGATATAGGAGCTAAGGCCAGTCAATCGGAACCTCAATCAAACATTAGGTTACCTTCTTCTCTAGGCCGGAGGAGTGAAGATTAGAGGACAATTGCGGAGGTTGAAGGCCCTCGCGACGTTTCTTCTGGAGGCTTTCTTCTCTGCGGTTCTTCCTGATCTCCACCATGTTGTCCTCCCTCCGCCGACGACCCTCCTCCGCGTCAATGAAACTAAGAATCTGAAACCCTAAGAGAGAAGCAGAGAGATGGAGGGCGATAGGGTTTGGTCTCCCCTTTTCTTTTCTTTTTTTCTTCAGTTCTGGCCTCTTTCATCCCCATCCTACCAGCTTCATCGCCGATAGCCCAACAACTACAAAATTGAATTCGCCCCATCCTTCCCAACACCCCATCAACTCGAACCCGCCTATTTCAAAAAATAAATTATCTGCTTCTATGTCTGCAAATTCAAAAACAAAAAAAATAATAATTTGAAAACAGAGAATGAATTCAATCCAGCACAGGAATTTTCTCTTTGTGCCTAATGTTGTATCCGGTTAGAGAGAGAGAAAGAGGGCGGATGGGATCTGGCTGGGGTGGTAGTGGGCATCGGGGAGGAGCATGAGAACATGATCCCGAGAGAGATTGTGGTGAGGTTGTGGAGTCGCCGCTGGGTCTGGGGATGATGCGGTGCTCCATATATACATCGTTTGTGCTGTGATGATGGTGAGTAGGCTGGTAATGGTGGTTATGGAAGAGAGAGGAGGGGATTGGGTTTGATCGGGAAGAAGGGAAACAGAGGTTCTAGAGAGAAAAAGAAAAGTTTTTGTTGGTTTTTATTATTTTTATTA